AATAGCATGAGGGTCAAGTAGCATATTCCCTCTTTATTAGATAGGATTAAAGTGTGAGGTGTGCACCTAAGAAACAAGGGATGTTTTTAGGATTTGTGAAACAATGAGTTCAGAGAAAGGGGGTTAATGTCAGGCAGAGCAAAGCTGGGGAACAGATGAACCCTGTTTTGTTCACTGTGTGCTCAGCACTTTGCACTGTGTTTTGTTCAGTGTGTCCGTGAAAAATCTCACAGAATGGATGAATGAGAACAAACTACTCATAATTCTGCCAGAGGGAGTCATTGTTGACACGTCAGTGCATTTTTTTTCCTTTTTCTCTAAATATACAATAAACATATATTTTAAACCTCAGTAACTTTTTTTTTTTTTAAAGTAGCATGTTCATCTCAGAAAAAGGAGAAAATGCTGATAAGCAGCATAGTACTAATAGCTAGCATGCTTTATGCTCATTCTTTGTCAGGCAAAACATGCTTCTCAGCTAGTAGTAATGACTCACATTTGGTATATATCCTTCATACAGGAATCTCTTTTATTTTAAGTGTTCACTTTTTAAAAATATTTGGGCTCAAGATTCTGCATTATTTAACATTATCTTTAACATTTTTCCATGTCTTTGAAAATTCTTTTAAGAATCACTTTCAGTGACTGTTTATCCTATCCAGGGAGTTACTCTAACTGGTACCAGGCCAGGCAGAGACCCTACCCTCTATCTGTGGCTGATAGGGACTCCCTGTAGGTTTTTAAAAAATTCTCAACATGTTTGTATTGATTTTTATAGAGAAAGGAAGTGAGACGGGGGGGGGGGGGGAGGAACATCAATATCAGGGACACGTTTTAGTTTTTTTGTTTTCTTTTGTTGTTATTTAATAAACTTTGTTTTAGAGCAGTTTAGATTTATAGAAAAATTGAGACGATAGTAAGAGGGTTCCCATATATATCGCACCCATGTTCCCCCATTATGAACATCTTACATTACTATGGACATTTGTCACAGTTAATGAACCAGCACTGATACATTATTATTCACTAAAGTTCAGATTTTATTCAGAATTCTTTGTCCTTTTTCTGTTCCAGGAACCATGCAGCAGACATTACATTTTATCATGCCTCCTTAGGCTCCTCTTGACTATGACAGTTTTTCAGATTTTCTTTGTTTTAGATTACCTTGACTGTCTATTTTTTTTATTGGTTTTTATTTTTATTAATATAGTTTTATTTATTTCAGAGAGGAGGGAGAGAGAGAATGGGAAATGAACAGTGACCTCTTGGTTCCTGGGTTAACACTCAGCTGCTGAGCCACACCAGCCAGGTGACCTTGACAGTTTTTTTTTTTCAATAGCAGTTTGCCTCTTTTTAAAAAAATTTCTTTATTAAGTTATTACATATGTGTCCTTATTCCCCCATTACCTCCTTGATAATTTTGACGAGTACTGTACTGGGCAGAGATTTTGTAGAATATTTCTCAAGTGGAACTTTTCTGATGCTTTTCTTTCTTCATTTTTCTTCTGATGTTTTTCTTGTTTGATTGATGATCCTGTGGGGAAGACCAGAGGTAAAAATGCCATTGCATCACATCATATCAAGGGGACATACTATTAACTGGATCTTAATTTTCATCACCTGGTTGAAAGAATGTTAAGGATTCTCCCTGTAATGTTACCCATCTGCCCCTGCCCCAGGCAGTCTCTATGCACAGCAGGGCTTTATGCTCCCCCGTGAGGGCGGACTATGTACATACATTATTTGCATTCTCCATGGGAAATCGGCCTATTATCCCCCTTTGATTTGTGGGCTTGATCATTTATTTATGTCAGAATAGACGTGTGGATATTTATTTTATACTTTAGGCTGTGGTTCAATAATTCTGTATTTTGCTGCTCACATTGTTCCAGGTTTGGCCTTTGGAAGCTCTTTCAGTTGGCTCCTGTGTCCATTTGTCATATCTCCATCTTCCTCTTCTTTTATTTGCTTATACTTCCTTCTGTACTATAAAATGCTACAGGATCCATCTTGTGTATTTCCTGAGCGAGTCCTAAAATTAATCATTTCCCCAGGGAGAATGTCGGGGCAAGTTTAAATCTTAGCAAATGTGCAGTGCGGCTGGAAAGTGATCTGACAGGTGGGCAGTGAGACTCAACCCACCTTAGGAGGGTATTTTCCCAGCAGAAGCAGCCAGAAGTGCAAGTCCTAACTGAGAAATAGGTGACTCACCAGCTCCCAGGCTGTCTCCTCCCTCCCCCTCTTGCTGACAAGACTGTCCCTAAACCAGCTCCCACAGAGGGACCCAGGCCAGAGTGTCCCCACCCAGTGGGCTAGAGAACAGCCTGTCTCAGGCCAAGTCAAAGCTTTGACCCATGCCCAGCTGACACCTCCCCCCATTTGTGTATCACATATACTCCTCCTGCCTACAGAAAGTGTTAAACAGGATCACTCTTAAATTTACAGCTACAATTAAACTATTATTAAAATTTGGGTAAGCCTGGCCCGAGTGGCTCAGTGGTTGAGTGTCGACCTATGAACCAGGAGGTCACAATTTGATTTCTAGTTGTGGCACATGCCCACCCAGGTTGTGGGTTCCAATCCCCCAGTGTGGGACATGCAGGAGGCAGCCGATCAACGATTCTCTCTCATCATTGATGTTTCTATCCCTCTCTCCCTCTCCCTTCCTCTCTGAGATCAATAAAAATATGTATATTTTTAAAAACTTGGGTAAAAGGACAAGAGCACTGTAAAGAACAGCGTGTGTGTGTGTATGTGTGTGTGTGTGTGTGTGTGTGTGTGTATAGGCTGGGTCAACTTGTCTACAGTCTCCAAATCACAGATTGCAAGCACCAGAAGGGCTTTCAGAAATAAATGCACTTACGGGTTAAGTGATTTCTCAGGAAGTCACACAGCAAATGAGCCGAAGAACTAGGAATGCTGTGACAGGTCTCCTGGTGTTAAAGTCCCCATTCTTCCCTCCCTTTCCAGGACAGTGAAAAGAACCGTTTTCCAGACCTTCTGTGGGATACAATGGCAAGACAACAGCTTGGGGCCTTTTTCACTTGCTAGGTGAACAAACATGTGTGGATGTGGCTGAGAGGTCTTTGGGACTATAATTAAGGGTTATTAGCATCCCCAGATGTTTGGACACAGGAGAAATAGGATGTAGACATGGGGATATAGAAGTGGATAGTGGGGATCCCACCATTTTAATGGTTAAAATCAGCAACTTTCTAGCTGATGTCCTCAACTTTTGAATAAAAATAAAAGAAGAAGAAAGAAAGAAAAACATAAAAATCAGGGATTCTGAGTCTTTTCCCAAGAGATTCAGAGATTTGGATTTGTGGGTTTTTATACTGCCAACTGTTTGAGAAATAGAATTATCTATTCTCTTTAATATTCATTGCCTTCTCCCCCTCCCAACCCTCTTCCTGCAACCACTCATGAAGGGCACATTTTAAGGGATTTTGTCTAGGCTGAAATGAGACTGCTTTGGAGTTAAGAGAAAGGATTCTGGGCCTGATGTCTCGGTGGTGTGGCTGCAATAGAGAGGAAATTAGCATCAGGTTACTCTTTATTTATTTATTTTTTATTTATTTATTTATTTATTTTTATTTTACATATTTTATTGATTTTTTTTTGCCCCCCTCCCTCCCTCCCACGTATCCCCTCCCTCCCCAGAGTTTTATGTCCATTGGTTGTACTTATATGCATGTATACAAGTCCTTGGGTTGATTTATTGTCTCCCCCAGACCCTCCTCCACTCCCCGTTGTAATTTGACAATCTGCTTGTTGCTTTACTGTCTCTATATCTATCTTTTGGTTCATCAGTTTATAATGATCTTTATTATCCACAAATGAGTGGGGTCATGTGGTGTTTCTCTTTCATTGATTGGCTTATTTCACTCAGCATGATGTTCTCCAATTCCATCAGGTTACTCTTTACTTGCTATCCTGGTGAGGTCCGTAGGCCACCTGCTATACATTGTTCTGTCTATAAACTCCCTAGGGTAAGGACAGTGGGTGGCTCAGAGCCGCGTGTGCTTTTGATGATGATGATGAAGAAGAAGAAAATATTAGGGGCATTTCGGACTTAGAAAATATTCACATGGAGAATTGTACTTAAAGATCCCCCAGCTGGGCTCTCCAACAGCGCAGAGCGAAGGTGTTGAAAGCCTGCCTTCTGAGGAAGCTGTGTCCCAAAAGGGAGTACAATACATTCCTGACTGTTGTGTTCACGCTCGAGTGTATTTTCTGCCACTTCACGGTATGTATGTATATATACAACTAATTTTTTACAGAGAGGAAGGGAGAGGGATAGAGAGTTAGAAACATCGATCAGCTGCCTCCTGCACACTCCCTACTGGGGATGTGCCAGCAACCAAGGCACATGCCCTTGACTGGAATCGAACCTGGGACCTTTCAGTCCGCAGGCCGACGCTCTATCCACTGAGCCAAACCGGTTTCGGCTCGTCCATATATTTAAAAAAATAATTCTTTAATTGATAAAATTATTATCCAGACTTTGTATACCCGTACGACCATATGTCAGGTTTGTTTTAATTTGAATAAGTTTCATTTGAACTAGCTGCCCTTGGTGCTCCGCGACTTGCTTCCTCTTCCTAAAGACACATCCTCCATGTCTTTCTGTGGAAAAGCACCTCCATCTGCCTCCTTTTGGCGATTCTTTGTCCCCGCACCTGGGCGATTCTCCGAGCGAGCGTCCTTTCTCCGCCGGCCTGGCTTCCCGGTCCGACACCCCGCGCGGCGCCCGCAGGGGGCGGGGCGGAGGAGGCCCGGCGGTGGGCGGGGCCGGCCCACGGGGAATGCAGATGAGGTGGGCGGGGCCGGCCCCTCTGGGATATGCAGATGAGGTGGGCGGGGCCGCGTATAAGGGCTGTTAGCGGCCGGCGGCGCGCCGAGCCTCGGCGGACCCAGTCGGAGGCGGCGGCTGCGGCGGCGGACCCGGCTTCTCCCGGCGCACGGAGCCTGGTGCCCGGCCGTCCCCGCAGCGGGCCATGCCCCCGCGGGAGCTGAGCGAGGCCGAGTCGTCCCCACTGCGGGCCCCGACCCCTCCCCCGCGGCGGGGCAGCGCGACCACGGAGCTGGGCATCAAGTGCGTGCTGGTGGGCGACGGCGCGGTGGGCAAGAGCAGCCTCATCGTCAGCTACACCTGCAATGGGTACCCCGCGTGCTACCGCCCCACGGCGCTGGACACCTTCTCCGGTAGGTTCCCCGCCGCCCGGGGCCTCAGACCTTACACCGAGCACCGGGGGGCGGGGGCGGCGGGAAGCCCCTCACAGGGAGGCGAGCGGGGCCGGAGGTGGCGCTGTGAGGCCTGGTGGCCCGACGCCGGCCTCACCGACTCCCCCCATCCCCTCTCCTCCCCCCCCCCCCCCCCCGCAGTGCAAGTCCTGGTGGACGGGGCGCCGGTGCGCATCGAGCTCTGGGACACGGCGGGACAGGTGAGAGGCGGGGGTGGCCGCTGCTGGCCTGGGGGGAGGCGGTCAGGCTGGGAGGGCCCCAGAGGCATCAGGCGTGGAGGAGGCCTTGGGCCCCTCCCCGGCTCCGAGAGTCTCCTCGGGTTTCCAACCCCATGTGGGAAGCGGGTTCCCGCTCCCTGCGACCCCACTCAGGAGCCGCCTGGCCTTCCCACCCCAGGAAGACTTTGACCGCCTGCGCTCCCTCTGCTACCCGGACACCGACGTCTTCCTGGCCTGCTTCAGCGTGGTGCAGCCCAGCTCCTTCCAAAACATCACGGAGAAATGGCTGCCCGAGATCCGCACCCACAACCCGCAGGCGCCGGTGCTGCTGGTGGGCACCCAGGCCGACCTCAGGGACGATGTCAATGTCCTGATCCAGCTGGACCAGGGCGGCCGCGAGGGCCCCGTGCCCCAGCCCCAGGCTCAGGGGCTGGCTGAGAAGATCCGGGCCTGCTGCTACCTCGAGTGCTCCGCCTTGACCCAGAAGAACTTGAAGGAGGTGTTCGACTCTGCCATTCTCAGCGCCATCGAGCACAAGGCCCGGCTGGAGAAGAAACTGAACGCCAAGGGCGTGCGCACCCTCTCCCGCTGCCGCTGGAAGAAATTCTTCTGCTTTGTGTGAACGGCCGCGGCGGAGGGGGGAGCAACGGACACAAAGCCGCGGACACCTGGAGCCCGGGGGTAGGGGCTACTGGCGGGGCCAGGCTACCCCGTGAGACTCCGTTCCCTTCTGAACTCTATGGGGACGGGGGCCCTCTAACTGCCCACTCGTGCCGGGTGGAGCCTCGGGCCTGGAAGAAGGAAGGCTGTAAGGTGGATTTCTGTGGTTCCAGGCTTACGGAGAGATCCCAGCACTTTGGTTTTCACGGGATGGTCCTAACTGTCTGTCGGCCACCTCCAGGCAGTTTGGGATCTGATTCCCAGTTTCTTGTCGTGGGCCCTCAGGTAATGCTGGCTGAATTAGGAGCCCCTGTGGTGGTCCCCACCTCCTCCTTGGCACGGGGGCGAGGAAGAGCCCAGGGAGTAGCTGGGCATCTTGGAGAGCTGGGAGGTGTCGTCCAGCCCTCTTTGGAAAGTTTGGAATGGTCTGTGTGAGGTAGAAATCAGTGAGAGTTCAAGAGGGAGCGGAAAATGAGGCTTTTGGAGCCTTGAGACTGGAGTTCTGGAAGGAGAAGGCAGATAGATGAGAGAGCCGGGCCTGGAAGGAGGAAGAGGAGAGCAGAGAAGTGGAACAGCTGAGAAGTAAGACTGATACCGGGGCTGCCCTCAACCCCCAGGGCCAGGGCGGGCGGGGCTGGTCCCTGGGAAGAACTGGGCTCAGGGCTCCCTAGCACTGCCCAAACTGGCTGGGCCAGGCATGGGGCAGGAAGTGAGAGAGACAAGGCCCAGCAGAGGAGGGGGGCAGGGGGAGCTACAAACCAGAATCTGAAGGAAGAAGGGGCCGGGGATCACCTTTTTCTCCAAGATCGCAGCCTAGAAGGTAGGGCCATGCGGACTGCAAATAAAGGTTTACGTTCCTGAAGCTGCTGGCTCTGTGTCATTTCTTGAAATGATGAACCCATGGCTCTCCCACAGCCCCCCTCAAGGCCCAGTGGTGAGGATAGAGACTGGTTGGGTACCAGAGGACTGAGGCTAGATTGAAAGGTGGGGCCTGGGCTAGATGGGACAGGGTGATGGGAACCGGACTCGGGGGGGCAGGTTTGGGGCTCCCCGCTTGGGGCTTAGCTGGTTCCCAGGAGAGGCAGCGTGGGAAGCAGCCTGGAAACGGGTTTCCCCAGGTGTCAGCGCCAGAGCTGCTTTCCCATGACCTCACTGGGCGGGCGGGGCCCCTCCCCTCTCCCCCTCCTTCCCCGAGCACCTTGCTCAGTGCTGAGTTCTGGGGCAATCCTGAGCCCTCTAACCCTCCTCCTCAGGTCCTTCCAACAGTCCTCAGGGCCCCGGGCCCCGGGCCCCGGGCGGGGCTCTGTTTCAGAGCCTGAGCACGAAAGAATCCCATGCAGCCTAAACGTCAGCAAGCGGCCACACTTCTTGGGCTTGGGTTGATTGGCACTCAACGCCCGTGTGAGGACCTGTCACAGGACCAACTGTCAATCATTTAAATAGCAGTTTGGGCTCAGAAATCCTATGGGAGTGAGGGTTCATTTTGTGAGGAACCTGAGAGGAGCAGGAATCCAGAGAACATTCCCTGGAATTGGAGCCGGAAGGAACGTTAAAAGGGCGCCTGGGCAGGAGGGTGGGGGAAGGACACTATTTCACCCGTCAGGGAAGTGAGGCCCAGAGGAAAAGGTAATGTCTCTGATATTACTCGTGGCTGTGAGAGCACTTTGCACACTCTAGAGTCAGGAGCATGGGTGAGTGTTACTCCTGCAGAGAGGGCTCTCTAAGGCACACCTCAGACACCTGTTAAGCAACTGCTGGGCCAGGTGAGCGCTCACCTGTCTCAGTCCGGCTCCCTCTGTAGGAAGTTACAGCTGTGTGTGTGCGTGTGTGTGTGTGTGTGTGTGTGTGTGTGTGTGAAGAAGAGAATGGCTGAGGGACGGAAATCCCAGCCAAGTGAAACCTCAGATAATCCCCAAGATTAGTTTTAGCCAAGACTGTCCGGCTCGTGCCCCACCAGGGCCCGTCCCCCAGAGCTCCAGCCTCTCCCCTCCCTCTGTGCCCTTGCCCCTTCCGGTGGAGGTGCTGAGCTGCCCACGGCAGCCAGGTCCTGAGGGAGTCTCACGCTCCAGCTGCACAGCCTTCTGCTACCTCAGCCCGGCCTGACACAGCCTCTGCTGGGGCAGAGACCTGGCTTCAAGATAGGGTCTGACATCAACCATGACCTTAGGCAAATCTTTTCCCTTCTCTGTGCCTCAGTTTCCTTATTTGCAAAATGAAAGACTCAGGCCTCTGAATTAGAGGTTTTTTTAAACTGCTCCAAGGGTCCTTCGATGTACCAAGGATTGGGAGAGGAAGTGTAATCAGATGACCTCTGCCCTGCGCCCCCCTTCCCCCCCAATCTTTCCCTTTGTCTCTGACGGAACCAGCCATCCACATCACTGTGTCCTCTCCTGCTGGGTCGCTGAGCCGGGTCAGAACCTCCATCAGCCTTACCCCTATGTCCCTCCAACACTGCTGCCTTCCCTCTGGCACCTCTGCCTCAAGACTGTTACCAGCTCTTAGTGCCTGCAACGAACGCCCAGCTTCTCATTTCAGCATTCAAGGCCAACCTGGACTAGGCCAGCCTGACTCAGTGATCCCCACTTCCTGATTCCCAATTATTTCCTGAATTCTGACTCCAAGTCTTTGCTTTTGCCAAATCCTCTAGTTTGGAAAGTGTCCCCTACTCATGCCCAGTTTCTCCTCTAACACTGCCCTTCTCCAGGAAATGTGTCTTACCTGTCGCAGCGGCCACACTGCTCACTCAGCACAACGAAGACACTGAACTTGGTCATGCACTCAAGTTGTATAATATCTCCCCAGCTACACTGAGAGAAAGCCCCACTCATGCCTCTGTGCTCTCACAGGATCTTGGGCTCAAGCAGTTTTTGATGCTGGACTTTAAGAGCTTAAGATAAGAAGCCAACCAGTTCAGCTCCGGGCTTGTGTCACTGAAGCCTGGGACAGGCCTAAGAGCATGGCTTTGCCAGAAAGGCTTGTGTATCACCTCTGGTCCCAAACCCTGCTTCTGTCCCCACAACACAATCTCTCTCTGCCTTTTTTTTTTTTTTTTTTTTTTTTTAACTTTAGAGAGAGAGGAAGAGAGAGACAGAGAGACATCAATTTGTTGTTCCACTTATTTATGCATTCATTGGTTGATTCTTGTATGTGCCCTGATTGGGAATCAAACCTGCAACCTCGTTGTATCAGAACAACAATCTAACCAACTGAGCTACTTGGCCAGGGCTCTCTCTACTTTTCTGGTACTGTTTTTTTTTTATCTCTTTCTCTATCTCCCCTTCCTTTGCTTAGATTAACTGGATAAAATTCGTTTTTTTACATATACATTTGTACATATGCGCTTATCAATTTAAAATGTTTAATGTCTGTGTAACCAACCCTTAGTGGATTTTAAATATGTGTTTAAATATGTGTTCATATAAATACTCAGAAAAAAATGGAAAATTCAAAGAATTAGAAGATTAAAAATTTACATAGTGTAAACTCTCAAAGGTAAAATTTTTCATATGTTTTTTAAAATATTTTTTTTTATTGATTTCAGAGAGGGAGAGATAGAAACAATCAATGATGAGAGGGAATCATTGATTGACTGCCTTCTGCACTGGGGATCGAGCCAGCAACTGGGGCATGTGCCCTTGACTAGAATTGAACCTGGGACCCTTCTGTCCACAGGCCGACGCTTTATCCACTGAACCAAACCAGCTAGGGCTTTAATATGTTTTTATTTGATTTTTTAGAGAGAGGAAGGGAGAGGGATAAAGAGTTAGACACTTCAATGAGAGAAATATCATCGATTGGCTGCCTCCTGCAGGCTTTCTACTGGGATCAACCCTGCAACCTGGACATGTGCTCTGACCTGGAATCGAACTAGTGACCTCTTGGTTCAAGGGTGGACACTCAATCACTGAGCAAAATTGGCCTGGCAAGATAATTACATATTTTTTAAAATATATATTTTATTGATTTTTTAGAGAGGAAGAGAGAGGAATAGAGAGTTAGAAACATCGATGAGAGAGAAACATCCATCAGTTGCCTTTTGCACACCCCCTACTGGGGATGTGCCTGCAACCAAGGTATATGCCCTTGACCGGAATCAAACCTGGGACCTTTCAGTCCGCAGATCAATGCTCTATCCACTGAGCCAAACCGATTTTGGCAATAATTACATTTTGATAAACTTTCTTCCAGTCTTTCCTTGTATGCATATTGAAAAATTTTTGTTGTTGTTTTATTAATCCTCACCCAAGATACATCAATTGGTTGTTTCCCACACTCATCCCAACCAGGGTTGGCCATGGAACCTGCAGCCCAGGTTTGTGCCCTTCACCAGGAATCGAACCCAGGACCTTTCAGTGTCCAGGCCGATGTTCTAACCATTGAGAAACACCAGCCACGGCTATATGCATATTTTAGAAGCATTTTTGTGACATGTTACATGTACAATTTTGTATTTTTGCTTTTCTTTATTTAAAAATTTAACAGTAATTTTCATGTAATTATAAATTCTGAGGCTGTAACCATAGATTCTGTTTGGTTACTATTTCACCCTGACTATAAATAACTTCTTCAACTAGATCCCCATTTGGGGGGGCATTTGGGCTCTTTAATTTTTTTCCCCTATTATAAATAAGACTACATCAATAGTTGATTATATATATATATATATATATATATATATATATATATATTATTAATTTTGTACAGAGAGGAAGGGAGAGAGATAGAGAGTTAGAAATATCGATGAGAGTAATTGATCAGCTGCCTCTTGCACAACCCCTACTGGGGATATGCCCACAACCAAGGTATATGCCCTTGACCGGAATCGAACCCGGGACTTTTCAGTCCCTAAGTCGATGCTCTATCCATTGAGCCAAACCGGTTTCGGCTGATTATTTTTTCTACCATTGGTTGGTGACCACCTACAGAAAAGACATTATTGTCTTTGACTTAGAAACTGAGCCC